AATAATAATAATAATAATAATAATAATAATAATAATAATAATAATAAATTAACACAGTCGAGAAAGTCCAGAAATATTTCACAAGAAGAGTTCTCCACTCCTCTACTCGTTACCTTATGCCACCAGACTCGAAATTCTAGACCTAGAAAACCTACAACTATGCCGCCTTCGGTCCGATCTAAGTATAGTATATAAAATCATACATTGCAATGTCCTACCTGTCAATGAATACTTCAGCTTCAACCATAACAACACAAGAGCAAACAATAGATACAAACTCAAGGTTAATCACACCAAAGTTGATTGCAAGAAATACGACTTCAGCAACAGAGTGGTCAATGTCTGGAATACTCTACCTGACTCTGTGGTTTCTTCCCCAAACCCCAAAAACTTTAACCTTAGACTGTCTACTATTGACCTCACCCCTTTCCTAAGAGGTCTGTAGGGGGCGTGCATAAGCGCACCAACGTGCCTACCGTACCTGTCCTATTGTTTATTTTTTCTTATATGTATCCATGTATTCATAACTATGTTTTTACTTATACCTATTATCTTGTAAGCAATTGACAAAAATAAATAAATAAATAAATAAATAAAAAATAAGAACCGTGCAGGCAGAGAAATTATTTACACAAAGATTTAGTGCAACTGAATTTCTTCCTCCCTTATTGAACACATTATTTTCACCCATGAACATAATCATTCTTATTTAAAATTTTATTCACTCTGCTGGAAGCTCATGCACAGTTATTTTCACCCATTTCCATAATAATGCTTTATTTCCACCAGAATCACTCTGTTGTAAGTCAGTTTACAACAATAGTTCATTATAGTTAGAGCCTATCAGTTCCTTCATTAAGAGAAAATCCTGCAAATGGAAGTTTAAACATGTAGCTCACTGATACATAACGAAGAAAATGAGAATATTCAACCTGCTCACTTTACCCATCCCTTCTCTTTATCCCCCAGAAATTCATGTCTTTTCAGAACACACAACTTTGGAATATAGAGGTTAACTAATTAGGAAGAGAAAGGAGAAGCGTCTGTGATCAGTTACCTAGATATTTCACAAGTCCTTGTAATTTCCCCAAGATGAGCTGCTCCAAACTACGCTTACCTCCATTTTGTACCTCACTGCAGAGTCCGTCATTAAGGCAGGGGTTGCTGCTACAGGCACCACTGTGTGGACAGCACTGCCTAATGCTTGATTCTTCAACCACCCCTCTGGACCGTTTTTCTTTGGGCAGAACCACCAGATTTCTTCCATCCATAGTAATCATATTCAGGCAGCCCTTGAACCCACCAGTGATTCTCTGAGGCTGATGATGCTGTACTAGTCCTCCAATCAACAGATCTCTGGTGGAGTGGGAAATGCTACAGCTCTCTGGGAGATGGAGGGAGGCATTTCCCATGTCATCAACCAGCAAATGGATCGAATGGCTTTTCACTTCTAGAAAGACCGAATGCCACATGCTGTCACTCACGAAACGGTGAGATGAAAGGTTCGCACTAAAGCCACTCCGACATCTGTATCCAAGATGAGGTACTCCATTAACAAGCTGCATAAGATATACAAAGCAGGTTTAAAATAAGCATTTTGTATTGATTTAAATTGCAAAGGTCTAAGAATCTAAAGCATAATTTAGACTTTTTCCCCTGCATTGGCCAATTAAACAACAGCTTCATTTTGAAATATCTACTGAAATTTCCACATCTAACTGCTTTACTTGCATCACTGAGCAATTATAACTTCAAAATAATAATTCTTTGACATTGGACAATTTATACACTCCAAGTTATAAGTGTCCAGCTAGATTTCAAATCGCTTCTATAGTTTTTGATGAATCAAGTCCTTGCTGCTCAAAGTTCATTATTTCTTCCTGCTCCAATCCTCCAAAGTAACACTTTTTCTTCTGTCTGTTAGAAAATTTTAGGACCAGAATACATTCTTTTATTAATGGGATTAATAACACTGCAGGTAGTCCTAGACTTAAACTCATTTATTTGGTGACTATTCAAAGTTACAACAGCACCAGATTATGCTCTGAGAAAGATTTAGGCAAAAAGTGACTTATGACTGGTCCTCACTCTTATGACTATTGCAGCATCCCCATAATCATTGATAAAAATTTGAGCACTTGGCAACCAGCATATATTGATGATGGATTGCAGTATCCCAGAGTCATGTGATTGCCATTTGTGATCTTCCTAGCTGACTTCCAACAAGCAAAATCAATGGGGAAAGCTGGATTCATTTAATGACTGCACCTAACTGCAGTGATTCATTTAATTACCTTAGCAAAAAGGTTGTAAAACTGGGTGTGACTCATTTAACCAAGACCTAGTTTAGCAATAGAAATTCTGCGCCCAGTTGTGGTTGTAAATAGAGAAGTCTGTGCTATTTCATGGCAATGATGTTAAAGACTATGTTTATGAAGTTTTTAGTGACACTGATTATGTACAGTACATTCTCTAATATATGTTATATACATATAAAAAAGATGGAATATATTTTCACCTTCGCTCTTTGTTCCTTTTTTAAGGGAGGAACAGAGCCGATTTCAAAGTGAAGTGATTTTTCTTCTTTTTCTTTTCAGCTGCACTGGCAATTCTATTTGCCACAAGGACATGCAGAAAAGATGGGGCTGTGCTATTGCATGTGAAGTACCATGCATGACAGCAGGAAGCCTGACCCATCTGTCTCTGTCCCTGCCTATTATCTATTCAGAAATGAAGAAAATACACTGACATTTATGAATACTTCTGGCCTTTGGATTTGAGTGAATCAAATGGCTTAGCAATTCTCACTCTCCTAAAGCTACAGATGTTGCTGCCTATTCTGGAATGGCTTTTCCTTCACTGCAAGCAAGCAAGCTGGAGCAGCGGCAGGATTCCAACAGGAGAAAGCAGCTGACAGCTATTTTTTCTCTCATGCCTGTCAGGTTGGAAACCACGAGCAGACCGTTCTCATTCTGTCTGAGAGAAAAGATTTTATATTTCTCCAAGCCTGCTTCAGAAAGAATCAGCGCTTCAGGGACTAGCCTAGAATAGGCACAAAATTGGGGCCTCTCCTCCCTTGGATTCCACTGATTCTTCTATCACAGAGTGAGGTCATTTATCCATAAACAGAAGCACAGTGAATTAGTCATGTCATGCAAAGAAAGACAGATAGGAAAACTGTTGAGAAAACCTACGGATAGTGTGGGACATATAGGGATCACCTATGAATGAATCTATGATAACCTCTTTATCTAGTGATCATACTGCAACACTTAGTAACAAATCCAGGAAGAGTTTATTAAACAGAAGCGAGATGTTTTACTAGTATTGTTCAAAAGAATGAAACAAATTAGAGCTCAATTACACAAAACTGTTCTGGCAACAATCCTTATGAACCAGAGTGTATATAGGGAAGAGCTTTCTCTATATCCCAGGAAGGAGGAATCTATACTTCCATATGATCTTCTGAGATGCCATTACTAAGGTATACAAAATTGCAACTTAAGTGCATAAATAGGTTCAAGGAAAGTGATTTAAAAGTAATTTACATTGAATTTATCTACTCAAATGAATTGTATTTATTTCCTAGCTAGTGTTAGAATGCTGATCTATTTGTAAATGGCAAGTGTGCTTTAGCAGCAACAAAGAGGGAAAAAGTACTAAAATTCTGAAAACTAACCAATTATAAAATCTTACTTCTCTATCAAATTGTATTAAAATTGATGAGTCACCAACAAATAGAAAACTGTATATGGAAGATGATGCCACCTAGTGTTCCTTTGGTAGATGGGCAGCCATATAAATAACAATAAATAAATGGGTATTTTTTAACTTCTTGACAAGTGATTACTTCTGCGCGTTTCTTTGAATTGCACATGGATTTTAAACACACAGCCAAAAAAAAGGATGCTATGAGAAAGTATGTAATTAAGATTTCCCTGCATCTACCAAATGGTAATGGAAGATATTCAAAGATATTAATATGATTATATTTTAATCTCGTATCCTGTTTATAAACTCTCAGTGTTTACCGAAACTGTTCATGAAAAACTAAATGATGTAGCATGACATTCAAAAATCATGTTAAATTCTGTGAGGTACTTTAAATCATATACCTATGGCATAATCTATCCATCCCTCTATTAATAGAGGAAAAGCTTTACGATCTGTGAATGAAACCATATTTTCCGATTATATATTTTTTATTGTTTACAAATATAAATATCAAACACATTGCAACCATTCTGGCATTACTCTGCCATACATTCAAGGATATTACTAAACCATTAACATTCATATTATTGGTACAATATTAATTTTTGTTACAGTTGTTTTATCTATGCTACTTGATTAAATCCTCTATCATATCACATTCTGAATACTATGATACTTGGAATAAGTTCTATCAATGGTTGCAAAAGAGAGATGGAGGCCGGAACAAAAAATAGTTAGGACAAATAGACCCAGAGAATGAAAGCATATTTTCCTTTAGGTCAATACGTAACATTGTTCCAGATCTCAATTGGATTAGCTTGCAAACTTGGATGAGTATGTGAGTGGTTTAAAGGCTCTCGAATAATTAACTTGAAAGCAGAAAGTGTTATACTTAAGAGTTACCTCATCAGGCTGCCGATGAGATTTTGTTTTGTTTAGTACAAAATGCTTTGATCTTATTGACTCTATATTGTAGATCTTACATGTTTCATTTTAGTAAGATTGTATGTGCTTTAACTTTCTTAAACTTGTACCCAGTCTTCTGTCATTATGGCTTTTGGCAATGCATAAAATAAGATTTATCTCATCATCTAAAAACACACCATGCTACTATGAGTCAAAGAAAATGTAGAAAGTAAAATATCTTGTGATATAGAATGGTACCACTGATCAGGACAGACCTTCTAAACAGAGATTGCTTTTCAAAAGACTCTAATATTAGATTTCCAATAATGCTCAGCACTGCCCCAGTTCCTTTATCATCATTGTATGGATATCTGAGCAAACTGGAAATTCTACTCTAATAAATAAATAGTCTCTACACAAACATTTCAGTTGAAATGAGAAAATGTGTGAAAATTGGGACATAGCCAAGGCAAACAAACTGCAACACAAATTATTTTTAGCCTAGGCTTAGAATACAAAATACGCAAAGCAATTGCAAATTGTCATCCACCTGGCTGTTTCTCTCTTTATTTTTATATAACTTTTCTTAAGCATTGGATACCTACAAAGATCCCTGTGACTGCCTTCTCCAGTTACATATACATATATTTATTTATTTATTTAATTACAGGCCCGTTACAGCATTCTTTCCACTGAATGCAGGAAGTATGGCTTTCAAATCACTACTATATCTAATTTCAAATGGATGAAACATACAAGAAAAAGATGCATTCTACTTGAGTAGCTTTGATATAGAATGTAGAGATGTTGGGCAATAACCTGTTGGTTTTCTTTTGCAAACATAGATTGATTGATTAAAAACAGGTATATCCCATACAGTTAATGCATTTACATGATTCAAGGTTGCTTGCAATTAATAAAAAAGAATAAAAATATAGCAATAACAGCCAACAATATTGCTTGCCAGATCTGAATTGCTCTGGTAAAAAACCTGGATTGACCATCAGATGATGGAATCAAATTTGTTTTCAGGATCTTTTTGCTGTCATCTAATGGATGTCCAAAGTTCTGTAGCCCAGTTCTAGTAGCCTAGTCAATACTAACAATTTAAATTCAAGGAGCAGAGACTGGCACAGCAGATCAAATCAACTATACTGGCAATTAACTTGGGAAATTTCAGTCTGACAAATGAACTGCCTGTCAAATTATGAACAGTGACAACAAAAAGAGTTAACTGCTACTGTTTCCACTGTGCTGCTTCTCTTCCCAATATTTGTACATTTAACTTCTTTTTCGTTTGCGTACCTCTATTAAATTTCATGTAATTATGATAATATATATCCTCCACTTCATCATCCTTCAAGTCATAAATAAAAATACTGAAGGACACCAAGAGGCATCAAACCCTGTGGAATCCCACTTAGTATCTCTTCCTTCCAATTCGATTCACAAGGTAAAGTAAGTCCCTTAATAGTTGTATCTTTCAACTTACACTTAAGCAAGCTTGCTGATAATGAAATAACCTTAGGAGTCCTTTGCTGAGATCAAATATATTATGCCCACAAGTTACATTATGTTCCCACAATCTACTAATAAAATTCCCCTATCAATAAATGAGATAAGCTTATTCATTAGGTTTGTATTAGTTCATGCTACCCTGTTTCTCCAACAATACGGCCTCCCCCAATAGGAAGTCCCAGCATGTTTTATAGGCATGAAATGAAATTAAGCCCCTCCCCCCAAATTAAGCCCTATATTAAAACATGCGAAATGGGGGGGAATGGTGGGGGGGCTTGCCGTTAGGAAGTACTTTTGTTGCACACCTGGATATGGTGCTGCCTGCGTTGACCCCGATACGAAGTGCCCCACCAACGCCGAGGTCAACATCCAAGCAGTCGCCGCCCGCCCACCCAAAGATGCAAGGGGGGGGAATTAAGTCACCCCCGAAAAGACGCCCTAGTCATTTTTTCAGGGCTCAAAAAATAAATAAAAATAAGACCCGGCCTTATTATATGAGAAACACGGTAATTAGGAGGCGGCAAAGCATAATAATATTCAATAGTAGGCAATAATTGAACATTAATAACATAATGTTCAAGGTGCTTACAGAAGGGTTACTTCATTGTTTACTCAGAATGTTCCCAGTTGACAGATTGACTGATCCTGCAGTTCTCCAAATCTTTGCAGTTGGTATAGCTGCTAAAACTCAATGAACTTCATTGCTGGAAATGCATATGTAAAAGGGTGGGGCAGAGGGACAAATGGCAAGACACAACCTTGTAATTTATATGCTTATGTCCTGTGTTGGGCCAGGTATTAAAGGGGTGGATTTGCATTGTAATGTCTCTACAGGTGTCTCTAAATGTCTCTAAAGGTGATATTCTACTGAGTTTAGGTTAGGATGCCTATGGCCAGAGTTAAAGCACTTTGATGGTGGTGATGTCATGCTTAACAGCAGGCATTTAAATATTAAGAAAAGGAATGGGAAGGGAAGAGAAGTGGGAGAAGAAAATACAAAGAAAGTAAAGAATCAGCAAAGTGTAAATCAGAAGTGACCTTACTGGACAAGAGGATATTATTCAAGTTGAGAAAGAGAAGAAATCAGTGAGGAAAGAACCCAAAATGCTAAAGTGTTGCTGGTGAAAACTGCAACAGCAAATGCAGGTTGCCTTCCTACTGAGTCTAGATGCAGACACTGTGATCTAAACACACTGAAACAGAAATTGTTACACTCCTATTTTCCTCCTGAAATTACATGCAACAAATGCCCTTATCCTCTTATCAAGCCCTTTACCGCCAAAGGTAAAATTATGTTAGATTAAGACATTTTATATCTTTTCCCTGTAACACATCTTACCTGTACCTATTTTATCAAGTATTTTCTACGTATTTATTGCATCATTTTAATTATTTTTACTGATCACGTATCTCCTGTACATCCAAATCGACTTTTGGTTCTCCAATTCAACCCATCCATTTGAAAGACACAAATTTCTACTGAGATAATGGTGGCAGCATTAGGTTCAAGGAATGTGTTTGTCCAGGAAACCAGATTAAGAGGAACTTACTGTATCTGCCAGAAACCCTCCCGTTCCCCTTTTATTTAGCTAATTGCAATTTTATGTATAAGTAAACATTCTTATCCAGAAGGCAAGGAAACAGTGTGCTGGTTTCAGTCTTGAGGAGTGGTTTTATGGCAAACCAAGAAAAAGCTGAATTGTACGATCAGAGGACAGATGAATCCTACCTGTAGAACAGCACTGTTGCTTCCGTTGGTTGTAAGCAATATGGCATGGAGCTGGTGGGTTTGTAAATGGAAGTTCATCTGCCAATCCCGTTTGCCTTGATGGTGATACCATATGTAACTGTGCCCACTGAACCTCAAAGCTGTGCCTGACAATATATGCAAAGAAAGTTACAGGCTGAAAAAAGAACAGCTGCAAACAATTGCGCTTCACAGCTAATACAATACATTAAAAACATGTTACTGTTCAAACTTATTTGTGTTGTTTGTTGATTAAAGGTATACAGCTTCTCATCTAACAGAAGAAACTCTGAGAACAGCAAACAACAATCAAAACTGCATTATAATTAAAAATATATTAAAACAATGTTAAGGCTGTGATAAAACTTGTAGCTATTAATCATACCATGCTGGCTCCATCCATATCCTGGCCCCATTGCCTGGAGGAAAAGCCAGAATTTAACTGTCTGAAGCCAGCAAAATAAAGGCCATCTGTATTTCCTGGGGAGGCTAGTCTATAAGGCATGTGCCATATCATAGCACACATCTGAGACACCATCAGGCAGAACTACTTCAGCAAGGAGACTGGGTGCTTAAACACTGTACCAAATTTAGTAGAATGAACAGGAATCATCAGGGATAGGTAGTGTCATATATAACCTGGACTCGTGACATGTAGGGCTGTAAAAGATAATGACCAGCATCTTGAATTGTGCTCAGAACTCTACTGGGAGTCTGTGCAGTTCACATAACAATAGTGTTACGTGGGCATTCCATTGTGTGCCCACTATTGCATGCGCCCCTGCATTCTGGACCAGCTGAAGCTTCCAAATGCTCTTCTACAGCATCCCCCCATAGAGCATTTTGCAATAGACCAATAGGGAGATGACTAAGGCTTGAACAACACGAGTAGTTATCTCCCAACCTAGAAAAGAGTCCAGATGCTGCACAAGATGTATTTGTGCAAAGGTTCTTTGGGAGGGAGAGATTGTTCAACAATAATGGACTAATTATGTTTGGCACGGAAATTCTTCTCTGGCTTAGAAAGAGTCTGATATCTCTTAGAGGCACTGAATAAATGACATTTCCCAACATGCTTTGCTGCTCTGCCAGATGTCAGAGAAGGAGCTTTTTTCCATACCTATCCATTCCATTATTTGTGGAATCAAGATAAATGTGCAGGATAGAGTTAATTTTGAAGGTCATGAGATAGGACAAAAGACAGTAAAACTTACTAAGATACCACTGGGAATTCTATAGGGTTAAATCTGTATTTGTAATAAATTAGCTATTTTCTCAGATTTGGGAAGCATTTTTTCCCCCTAAACTCAGTTTTGAACCTTAGTGGGAAAGTTTTTTTCCAACTTCACAGGCATGAACATGGTCTACATGGTCTAGCAATCTGAACAAAATGCAGTAAAATGCCAGAGTTCAGAATAAAAACATTCCAGACATTGTACCATAACAAGTACTGCCAGAGAACATTGCAATATCTGTTTTACAAAGTAGGGGAAATGATGATCATAAACAGCAATATTTTCTCACCATTGCAAGAGCAGATCTGTTCCAAACTGTGCCGAGGAGTGAGCACACTGAATCGGGCAGAACTATATGTGAACACTGTGCCCGGATCAAGTTGAAAGGTTTCTTTGCAAGCGCGTTGAATGATACAGTTGTCCTCATGGCATGGGACATAGGTCACTTTCTTTACTCGCAGCCCAACTCGCTGGTCCATTTCTTCAGTCGACTGAGAAATCCGGGTAGCAATGAAGCTGGGCTTATAGAGTGAATATTGGGGTTCTCCAACTGCCAACAGAAGATCTACCCCATTAGAAGCCTCTGAAGGTTGCAAGCTAGCCATGTGGACATTCTGTCGCTTTGTCTCTAAGATATTCCCCAGAAACCGCTGCAGGTTGCGCCAGTGGTCACTTATAAATTCTTCTGGGTTAAGATGACGGAAATGCAGTGTCACAGCTTTATCAAGGGCATCCTGGCTGAAGGACCATACATGAACCTGGACTCTGGTTATGGTTGAAAAGGTTCCATCACTCACACTTACATTCAGAGAATAGTGGCCATGTTGGAGACCTTCGGTTGCAATTATTTTTCCATCTGAAAGTCCCACAGAGAATTGTTTCTTTTCAGGGACTACTGACACAAAGCTGTACAATAGAGTATCATGGGGGTCTCGATCAGTGGCATGAATTTTGCCAAGAACTCCACCTCGGAAGGTTCTTTCGTTGGTTGTGATGAAGATCTCGAGAGGAAGTGCGGAAGGAGGGTACTGGCTTTGTTGTATCACATAGATGCTTATAAATGCTGAAGAAGAAAGAGGAGGGCGACCACTATCAACAACCTATTGGACAAAATTACAAAAATCTTTATTACCACCAGAACTTACATACTTTTCTTGTATATCTGATTTGCTTACTTAAGCCACAAGGCAAGAAATCCAAACTTTTTGCTGATCCACTTAGAGCTGCGGTGGCACGGTATTAAAATGCAGTTTTGCAGGCTACTTCTGTTGCCTGCTGGCTGCCTGCAATTTGGCAGTTTGAATCTCACCAGGCTCAAGGCTGATTCAGCCTTCCATCCTTCTGAGGTCAGTAAAATGAGGACTCAGATTGTGGGGGCAATATGCGGACTATGTAAAATGCTTAAAGAGGGCTGTAAAAGCTCTATGAAGCAGTATATAAGTCTAATTGCTATGGCCAATAGCCATTTCTTCCATCAGCCAACAAAATGTCTTTCTTGTTATTATTCTCAAGAAACATCTATTTCAATACAACAGCTACGACAGCTCTCCTTGCATATTTTAAGTACTAGCAGGAAAGAAGTCTAACTTAGTCAGTAAACTGGATATACAAAATGCTGAAAAGATACCAGTTGCATTTTTGAATGATTACAGTGAAATCCAATGAAAATATCTTTGGGAATTAAGGGACACAATGCCACATCTGCAAAATACACTTATGAGCTTTCATATTCTGTTGACTTCATTTTCAAATATTATTGGTCTCTCTATGTTTCAACAACATTTCAGAGGGTCTGTAATGAAATCCAATTTTGATAGATTCTACGGGCATTATATAAGACTGGTTTTTTTTTTAGAAAATTGTCAAAACTTATACTTGGATTCTAGTATTTTATTTCTGAAAAGAGGCTGGGATTTTCTTTTGATACAGAGCTTCACTGTACAAGCCAGTGGTATTTGGTGAACAGTAGTCTATAGCAGTGGTCCCCAACCTTTTTTATGCCGCGGCCC